TGCTTGCATAATTCTAATGTACTTTGGTCTACACGCGTGCTGCAAGTCGCAGGAATAGACTAAATGGCAGACTAGAATTAACCCGGCTCGGCTCGCGTTGCACTTTGTTGCACCATATGTCTAACGCCAAGAGATGCGAATGTCTGTTGCTATTTGAAGACATCGACCTCGGGTTAATGCTTTACCAGCTAGCCACGCTAGTAGTGATTTTACTATTAAGTTACCTAATTATTTTAAAGTTGATACTAAATTAGCAAAGGACGATATATTGAACTATTATTTCGCTTGATTCCGAATAGATTTCATTGTTTTTAATTAAATTAAACTAATATTATAAATGTGAAAGTTTAGATGGATGTTTGTTAGTTTGTAGCCTAAACGGCTGAACTGATTTCGATGAAATTTGGTACAGATGTATAGCATAACCTGGAAGAACACATAGGCTACTCACTTTTGTTTTTTGTTATTCCGCGCGGACGGAGTCGCGGGCGAAAGCTAGTAAAGGCTTATGCGATCTCTACAGTCATATATTCATTGTTTTTTTACCGAGATTAATAGTTCTGATTAACTTCTGCAAGGATTTCTGTGGTCTGATTTATTAAAATGTTTCGAAATAAAATAAACTTTATAAAGTACTAGCTTTAGCCCGCGATTCCGTTCGCGTGGAATTAAAAGAAAAACAAAAGTGAGCAGCCAATGTATTCTTCCAGACTATCCTCTACATCTACACCAAATTTCATCGAAATCTGTTCATCCGTTTAGGCTACAAACTCTAACAAACATCCATCCATCTAAACTTTCGCATTTATAATATTAGTAAGACTTGTATTATATCAATGAATCCAATAAAATGTTGCAATATTTGATTGATAAAAATATAACACATTAACGTTTACGCAATAGATACAAACCTTGACTTTATGTTTGTATAAAGTTGTATTAAACAGTAGCTAGTTCTTTTTATAATTATCTGATTAATGATTATTATTTGATTTATTATAAGAACAGGTTTTTGGCATAAATTAATTTATCTTTATATTTTTAAATGTGAAAAATTTAATTATTCTAAAACTTTACTCAAGTTTCATTTAAATGCGTTGTGTAGTTTCGTGAAGATATATGAAATAGAATAGACTTTATTTAACAAAAAATAATATAATTAAGAATTACTCATAATTTACTCCAGCTAGGAATCGAACTAATGACACGTGGTGCATTAGAGCGTGACATCTGAAACTAAACTATCGCACACGCTTATATGGAGGTGCGCAAACTACTCGATTTTAGTTACGCAACTAAAAAGTTGAATTGGCAACAAAACAATGGACAATCGCACAACAGTTGTGCGATAGTTTAGTCAAAGGTCATTACAATTTCAAACATAATTATGTCCATGTTCGACTTTTGACTCATACAGCATTCAATGTTAAAACCTTGCGCCAAAACTGTTCTTTAAATATGTGCATCATTGAATAAGTCCGTATAAATAAAATTTACAACTGATCCACTTTTCGTTCCCAATATCGTTTCGGAATTTATACTTAAAAATACTAACTGGCTGTAATCAATAAACATGATATTCCGTTACTATACATCTTGTCTTTAAAGTTGCATTATTAATGTCAAAGCAATAAATAAAAAAAACAATGATAATCAAACCGAGGAAGAGGAAATCTAGTATAGGTTTTAGTACTACTAGCGCCCTTGGCGACATTTTTACAGCACCCCTTTTTTTCTCCGCTTGGGAGAGACATTTGACGGCCTTATGTGATTCTGTATAAGTCGCAGATCTGTGACGCCCTGGGCGGTCGCCCAACCGCGGCCTACACTTACGCCAGCATAGAGGAAATTCGTTTAACAAATTTTCAATAAGGTAGACAAACCAATATTGGCTTACTTTGCGGCGGTATGCGAAACACATAATATTATTTGTCACCATCGATTACCATGTAGATTACAGTTTACAGCCTATTATTTTACGTTATAATATTATATTAAAATTGCTGAATATATTTTACAATATAAAATTGTTGAAGGAATATATACTCGTATATAGAAGGTAATTACAGTAGGGCGTGGGCCGGCAGACGTCTGAGCCATCCGGCGCGGAGTCAACAAACTGCAATCAGGTGCGACACACGTCTTGCAACGGCTTTTTATCTCAACACTATTTAGTAAGCTTGTTGATGTGAGATAAGTGTGAAGACGTTTTACGCATTTAAACATTCAAAATAAAATTTACCGTTGGTTTCTGACTATCGGAACACCTGCTCAAAAACTTACTAACTATGTTTTCAAAGACGTAGGATGTTTTTTACAAGTGCATTGCCAGTGAAAGTCCTCGCTTATGCTTAACGCACTTAGGTAAATAATTGTTTTTCGAACATATTCGAAAATGTTAAAATTTTCGTCCCTCTTTTCCGCTTATAACACCAAAAACCTAATCAATTATATTTAAAGACTAAAACGGTCGTTATTATAACCATTTATGATTATTATAATTATCCTGTTAATATAACAAATATGTTTTTACCTCAAAAACAAGTAAAATTACCTTAATTAAATCATACATTTTGTCAGTCGGGTAAAAATTTATATTGGATTTAATTTCCCTTCACAGCTGCGTTATGGAACTGTCCGTCCTCAGTGGTATTTTCAATACAGTACGACTTAGAGTCCTTAAAAGCGAGCGTATCTTTCTTAAAGAGCGATTACACCTCTGTAGTTCCTTTGGTCTCTCTTTTACTTACTTATTTTACTGAAGAACTATGTTCGTTCTTGTCGAAGCAACTTTCCGTTCTCCCTCTCTTGTCATCCTTATGACCTTCTACAATACAACGCCCACTTTCTTCCTTACCTGTTGCATATATGTTGTTCTTCATCTTTCTCTATTTCTTTTCTCTCCTATTTTCTTTTTCATTATGGTAGTTATAAGGTCGTCGTGTCGTATCAAACGCAGCATCGGTTTCTCTCGTATTCGAGGTTATCTGTGGACATCGATTAACACCTCGGTGTTCCCGTCATTCTTATATCTACTCTCTTCCAAAAGGAAAATGTTCTTTTTCTTGCTCCATGAACATATTGATGGCGATCATAGCTTTTAAATCATGTTCTTGTACGCAACTGCTTATAAATCTTCTTTCAATTATTTTTATGTCCAAGTTCACAGTATTGTAGTTAAATGTAGGCCTTTAATTTGGCTGCACGTAGAGCTTTACTTCATCTATAAGTATGAAAGAGAAAAATACTTCCTATTAATAAGATAGAGAAAGACCAGATTAAAAATGTATGTAGACATTTCATTACTCCATTTATTATGAAGGATATGTATGTACAAGGGCGAGGTTACGCACAATAAATTCTCCGCACCTGCGGTCATGCACCGGTGATCAAATATCTACATATAACTCCACCTAAATAAAATGAGCCAACACTGTCTCGAACAGAACAAAGAGAGAAAACAGGAAACACGACAATGCCAAAAACTTTCGATTGTACCGTACGTAGCGTTTATATTCAAATTGTTGCTCCCAACGCTGAATTGCAGTCATTAGGCTTTACGGATGTTACTGTTTTTATTTTAAAGCACTAAAAACTTTCTATTTGTTCAAAATTAGTACTTAACCACTTAGAAAACTATATAGCATGTAATAATAAACTAGAAAATAACTACCCACAAAGTAATTTTCACAATAATAAAGATTAAAAATATCAAATGCAAAAATTTAACAATTCACGATCACAATGTATCATATCAAAATTCATTGTACGTTGACTCAGCCGGATCTAGGCACGAACACCTAATTGTTTTGCTTGTAGGCTCTATGTAGGCATAGAGTAAGAATGTGTGTTCTACACGAATCAAAACACACTCCGAAGAGCTTTCGTTCCTCGTTATAATAAAAGAAAACAAGTTTGAGTGTTATTGCGGCAAAGCGGAACAAATCGATCAATAACCCTCGCCGAAGAGTTCAACGCGTCGACGTCGATGCCTCACAATCAGAATATCAAATTGTTATTCTAGACTTGTACCATTCCGTGAAATGGCTTTTGTTCCATTTTTATTACGGCATAGTAAACAATGTCGAATATTTGGGATTACAAAGGGCTAAGACCATAAACGTTAATCAAGATAAACGGAACATATTTCTTTAACAAAAGAACATGTAATGGTCCAACCATTTGTCCTTAAGGGCCCACTCGATCCTTTTTAAGGCTTATCTTAGAAACCGCTTCTGGGACACAATGGCGGGGGAGGGGGCGGATTATGTACGGATACTTACGACGCTACTGTACTTGTTTCGCTGAACCGTGATCCTCCTTAGTGATAGTTTTACTACGCCTTAATGGACATTCTCGAGGCGGGATTTACGAGTTACGACGTACATTTATTTAAAAGGATATAACATCTTCAGAGTTGTCGCACAGAATATACAAAGGTTGATGTCACTTTTAACAAAACCATTTAGGGATAATAGTAATAGACAAAGATTTACCTAGGGTTAATAGAGTTGCTTTATAAGACCTGTCTTAGATGAGAATGTGTATGTACGTAAGAAAATTTTAACTTTATATAATAAATAGATATTAGCAGCGAGCGAGCTGCGAACTGGAAAAACCGTTCTACAACGAGCAGCGACTAACTACTCAATTATTATTCAATGTAACAAGACGTGGAATTGAAGCGTGAATCACTGCACGGATTTGAATTGAATGATACGATGATGTAAATCGCTTTGTCGTCACAAAAGTATTCGCTTATAAATAAATGAAATTGGGCTAATAGATTCAATTTATTTTGATGAGTACGGTCGGTGCCGAATACCTACTTTCTTACGGGCGTTAAATAATTGCATCACAGAGGTACGTGGCGACGGTGCGGGAGGGGCGAGAGAGTGGCGCCTCGCCGACGCACGCAGCGGACACGCGGAGCCAAGATTCGGTGGCAACGCTCACACAGGAATTCATTTAGCTTCGAGAAGTGTCCGGTTTCAGTCTGGCACGACGAGCGTTCGTGTTGCATTTACTATTTATTCATGTGTCGGGTGGCGGGCGGGCGCAGGTTCTGCCGGCGCAGAGCGGGCGCGGGCCGGGCAGGGGCGGGGGCACACTTACTACGTGATTAATCCGCGCCCCCCGGCCCGCGCGGCCCCGCGCCGTACTCGCGCCGGGTTTCCTCGTCCCCGCGCCTCACGGCCACTCGCTACGCACGGCGCCCCGCCAGCCCCGCGTAGTGCCGCGCCCGCCGCGCCCGCCACCCGCCAGTCGCGCAGCGACCCGCGCCGACGTCGCACCGTTTGTGATTGCGCTCCTACTCCGCGAGCCGACCTATGATATCATTCATGCTAATCTCCGCCCGTTGATTTTCCTGCCGAGTGACCGCAGTGAGACGGCCGCGATATCGCGTGTGCCGAATGTGCTCGGACGTCGCCCGTGTACTTTTCCATCGGATACCGAGCGCGCCCACGAAACCAGTTCGGAGTGACGGAACGCGCCTTCGGATGAGATCTCCGAGTGAGCGCCTGTGACCCGCGGCCTGAGATGCTGCGTCCGTGACCGTCTCGCGACAGTGCCACGAAACGTAAGGATCCATACGTCCATTCGGACGGCCGGCTTTATTACCCGGCCGCCTTCCTATTCGCATGGCGCATACGAGTGGATTTTATTTTCGTCTGGCGGGTGGCGGGTGTTGTGTGCGTGTGAGTGGCGGCGGCGCGGGCGGCGTGGTGTGCGCGGGCCGCGGGCCGCGTGCATGCGCCGCGGCTGCTGCTCACTGCTCCCTGGCCCGCTTTATTTAGGTTGTTTCTGAGCGTCGCAGTGCCTTCGCCTGGTGCATGAGCCGCGCCCGCGCCCGCCTCCGCCTGCCTTTTTATGTTGTGATCGCTACCTGTCGGTGACGACTACGTGTCGCTCGTTCCTAGGGCTGCCAACGACGGCCTGCATGCGAATACGCTGTATTCTCACACGCCAGCTGTTAAATCATTCCGCTTATAAATGTTCCTTTTGACTTTTGCACGCTTACATACTCTATTTCTATGTTGTAATCAAATCGCCGTTAAGATGTCTTCACAATGACAAACAATGTCATATTTGAGATACGCCTACAATCTCGGCTTTCGTATCAGAGATAACTCATGTTTGTAACTTGTCAGCTGTTAAATAATAACGTACACTTATCAAACATTATCTAAAGTTCTTACTATTGTAGTAGTTACATTGACACTTTTTTGATAAGTGTAACCTTCAACACGTCCTTTGCTAGTGTCTGCTAAGGAAGCTAGCACGTATTTAGCATTTAAATTAGGAAGACAATTGAATGATAATGATAGGTATTTATACACCGCATGCACAAGAAGGTTGCAAATGCATACGGTTGCAAAACACGGCGAATGATGCGGTCAAATTGAATATTTTTTTTAATTCGTCACACACTATTTACGTCATTGTCTTTAAAAACAGGAAACTGAGCGCTATTAGTCAAATACTTTTGGTACATTTCATCTATTATAAAAGTTGACCTCGAGTTTTATTGTTATTGTTAATAAATTATGTTTTAAAAACATTAAAAAAATGACAAATTGTTAAGCTCAATGGTTTATTGACAAAATGGACTTTAACACTAAATGGTTCGCATTTAGTAAATAATGAGATCAAATTATGACAAGTAGGAAAAGCACAAAGACAATTGTCGGCACATTGAGTTCGTTGCGATAAACTATGACCTTACCGTACACGTTGTTAGGGTTACTATGATAAAATAAATTTATTGAAATCCCAAAACTGACAATTTTTTGTAAATTTACATTAAATAATTTTTAAACGATGCCTTTATTGTGATTTGATAAAAACTAAATTAAAAACGATAAAAATAAAACATGGCGTTTTAGTTCAAGATTAATTTGAGTGTAATTAAAAACATTAAGAATTTATTACGTAACAAGTAATGATAATTTCAATATTAAAAATAGACGTTTATTTACGAAAACAACTTCAGATACATTTCATGTTATTCTGGTTGTAGTACAAAGGTCAAAATGAAAGAAAAAGGTTTGCGACAAATTATTATTGATGATTACGTGATGTTGGTATAAAATGTTTTGTAAGAATACTTGAAAGTAAGCACTGTTATGGACTTTATTACTTTAAGGAAATTAACAAAAAAATAAATCAAGTATTTTATTATTTTTGTCATAAGTATGTTATTTTAAAGTTTAAATTTGAAGTATAATATTTTTTACCTGAAGTGTAACAGTGAAAACAGTGTTATGTGTGTTAATGGCCACGGAATACCCGGTAAAGGTTTATCGAAATCAGAAAATTAGTAAACGAGGTCTATGAGAAAATTAAAGTATGGTAATCTCCGCGTCAAAAAGTCCAGGACTGCAAATAGCGTGGTCAACCTACACGCACTTGTTGAGACTTGTATCTTATATTGGCTCTCGCTTCATTAGCTGGGGCACTTAGGTTGGCGCTTTGCTTTCATCTTATGAACTACAAACAATTTTGTATTATGTTAAAGATGTTAATTTACATACATAAAATAAAAAGGATTTTTTGTACATTAATATTGAAAATACGCCTTTCCTCAAATAAGGTCAAGTCCTATAATTTAATTATGGCAATATTATATTAAAATAATAAGTAATAGGCTCTGGCAGCACACTTTATAAATAAAAACAACAAGTTTTATGAATTTCAAATAAAAAAATCATTATCCAAAACCTTTTAATCTCTAGCTAATCACCTCCGCGCTACCTACATTTCTTGTAACAACGGATTTTCCCTTTTTTAGATTTTTTTTCAGTCATTTTTAAACAGATATTCGTTATTATAGTTTATTTCATCATTTAATAATCTTACATTTATTTATCTAGCTTTTATAAACTATTATAAATGCTAACGTTTGGTTAGATTTACAACATATCTTCGACACGCCTTAATTCGATGAATTTTGGCACAAATGTAGAACAGTCTAGAAGAATACATAGGCTAATAAGATTTTATTTCGCTCGGACTAAATAGCGGGCAAAAGCTAGTCTATACTATAATTATAAAGAGTAAAGATTTCTATTTTTTTTATGTATTAAAATAATTCAAAAATTAATGGGCCAATTTTAGAAATTCTTCCACCATGAAAAGCTACGTTATCAGTGAGTAACATAGGTTCTATTTTTCATATATTTTTTTACCACGAAGGCGAAGTCGCGAGTAATAGTAGTACACTAGTATTTAGTATTGTAAATTGTATTTACTAACGACAGTGTAAAATCCGTAGTTCTCAGTATACGTATATCCTTTGCGATTAATCTTATCACATACTATGTTGAGTGTGTGATGTTTACACAGTTACGTAAACGATAAATACATATAATTTATATACTTAAACATGTGTGAAAAATACGTCAATAAAGAGGAAATTGGATTATATGAAAATAAAGATACTTAGTTTTTTAGCGAATAGGGCTTAATGGTGGTTATATACCATCCAGTAATCATAATACTAGCAGTATATTTTAAGAAAACTCATAAATAAATTATAAATACAAAGTAATAAGTGTCACCCATGTCATATGTCATGTTATGTAAAGCACATTGTTCAACATGGCGGCCTTCGGCGGGCAAAATTAATTATGTGGTGAAAATAATCGCTCCGTGTGTCTGGATGCTTAACATATCGCTAATTTACCGCGTGTACTAGTTTTTTAATGTTTTTTTAAACTCAAAATAGCAACAGAAACAACAGACAGACAGCTTACGGCTCAAAAGCGGTAACTGTAATGGTTAGATTTATTACAAAATTAAAACCCCTTTCCAAGTATCTTTTACATTTACAATAAATATGGATTCAAAAAGGGCCAATAAATATGGCCAACCGGCTCTGGACATATTAAAGGTTGTGAAAGAAAAGCCAGTGAAGTTACGAGTTTTGTCAGTGGAGGGAAATTGCAGGAATAGGAAATATCCTCTCTCTTTCTCCTCATCCTTTGCATCGTTTCGGTCCAATGAAACTAAGAAACATTTTACCTTGCAGTTATTTATGGTTCGAACCTTTAGCTAATTTAGTGTGCTCATGCTCCGTTTGCACTGTCTGTTATTTAAAAAAAACATTTTATCAAAAGTTATAACATTTGATAACAGCGAATAAGGTCGTACGAACAGGAAAGTGTCGAGGTTACGACTTCTTTGATAAAATGTTTATTTAAAAAAATATGTCGAAAACATACAATCATGATACAAATGAATTGTTATCTTATGATAAAATGTATAAATAATCTTAAATGTGAATTGGATTTACAAATTTTAATCGAAAATATCAGTGTTTTTTTCTAATCGCACGATAGCTCGTAACTTGTGATAATTTACAGGGAAGTCCCTTTTAAAATCATATAGCGTAAAAAATTATATACGTAGTAGAAGATTGTAGTCCAAAATACTACTAAATTATCATGATTAGGACTAGATTTTTATTCAGCACTAGCTTTCGCCCGCGTCTGGAAGAACACATAGACTACTTACTTACTACATAGGTACTTTTGTATTATTTTTATTCCACGTGGACGTAGTCGCCAGCGAAAGCTAGTATTAAATTAAATAATAACATGTCCAAATGTATTGACGAGTCGCTAGTTAATCAACGTATTTCTCATATGATTGATCGCCTAAAATGAATTAACTGGAACGGACATAACATGCCCTCGTAATGGATTCTAGAAATTTCGATATAATATTACTAGTACCACAAACAGAAATCAAATCAAAACAGACTCTATACATTTTTTCAACGCCTTATATTTCTCAAATGAATATTAATTTCATTGGATGAAATAAATGTAATCTATACTTCTATACTCATATAATAAAGCGTAAACACACACTTCTTTGTTGTCAGCAATTACAGCATATCTTTGAATAATTCTTTTTTTAATAAAAAGCCCTACACTTACGTCACGCTTTAGGCTATATATTTTCAAGCTGTTAAACTTAGGGGTAAATATTTTGAGTAAAAACCCTAATGTGGGAAAGAGACTATAAGTTGCTGCCAACATCAAGAAAGAAAGATTGCTAAGGTTTGTAATGTCATGTCATTTTGACATTTGCTATTGATATTTTGACAATAAACTAATATTTCATAACTTCATGCGAATGAAGCCGCATGGGAGCAGCTAGTACGCTCTATAAACTGAAAAACGTTATAATATCTTTCAAGTAATGAAAAAAAAACTGCTATACTAACTTACAAGTCCGGTGTCTGTACCGACTGACTCCAAGTTTACAATAATGATGCGAAGTTCCAACAATCTCACAATATATTTTTAGTTATAATTATAAAACTAACAATTATATAAGATTACTTTCGGTATAAGTTGTCTGTAAATATACACAAGCACGCAATTTATCAACAAGATTACTTCTTGCTCGTAATAACGGTTGTTTGTTGAGATAATTGCGTAGACAAGTAGCGCTACTAATTGCCTGCAAACCAGAACCGATAATATTAATATGCTCTTTGTATAAATTGTTAATAACTTTGAGTTATTTTCATAATGTACATTTATAATTTCACATGAATAATACTGGATT